TTGCATTCGCTGGAAGTATTGCTGGGTGAAGCAGGTGGCACCCTGATGACAGCTTCCCGGATGGTGCCGTGGGGCAGGAGTGGGACTAGCAGGGTGCTGGGGTGTGGGAGAGGTGGCCATGGAGGTACCTTGGGGTGGGCAGTGCATGGAGGGACAGGGTTGTCAGGCCCAGCGGGTGCAGCATGGTGGTGGTGACTCTGTTGGCTGTGAGAAGCGTTCAAACCCAGGGAGTGGGGCATGGTAGAGAGCAGCCATGGGAGTGAGCGGGAGCCCATGTTTGTAGTGGGCTCTGCTTGACGTCCTCTGCTTGACCTGAGTCCCGTTACCTGTTCTGCTGCACCACTGTGGTGGCCAAACTGCAGTCGGTGAAAGACCCCATGTTGCAGGCTAGTGCATCCTGGAGCCTTTTGCCTGGAGGAGAGCACACACAGCCTGGGGCTGAGCTCCTGTCTCAGCACTACAACCTGCCACTTGCATCTCGGTACACTTATTTCTGGCTGAAATGTTACAGTCAAAGCCTGGAAGTCAGTCGAGTGTGAACTCATTGCCATCCCAGAAATACAGTATGAAAGACTTTGCCCAAATTCAGCTCTGTCAAGGTTGAGAATAGCACCCAGGTCCTTGATAAGGTAAATTCAGGTCTTTCTGTTCATCTCGTAGTGTCTCGTAGAGCGTATCTACCTAGTTTGTGATTGAGTCACCCTGTTTATTGGCTCATACTTCCTTCTGAAGGCAAGAAAACCATTTTGCCTGTCTGCAGCATTTTATTTCTATCTGGCAAATAGTTTGTAACTCATTGACAAGCTATGAATAAAGTCCTCTCTAGATGCTGGACCAGAGAGGATAAACAGCTCTGGACTGAAAGGATAAGAGCTTTGTAGTCAGGATATAAATACTCTGGATTCGAATTCTGCTGGTGATTTGAGCAGACAAGTCTGGACAGACAGATTCAGTGGGGGAAAGAAAAAAAAGGACGCTAAGGCACACTGCTTCACGACACATTTTCCGCTGTGTTTCTAAAAATATTTAAAAGACCGAGAAAACAAAAGCTAAACAGGCTCTGCGCTTAAAATTAATTATGCATCAGCCGTGGTCTGGTGTGCAGCAGAACTGAAGCGTTGCATGTATGGATGGCTCACTCTGTGTTTGGTTTGCCGGTGTAATGAGTGTGTGGCTCGGTCCAAGGATTGAATGAGACATGGTGAAGGGGTGCTGCAACGATGAGGGGAGACAGAAGTGACTGATATTGATGGAGAGTTGGCAGGGGAGGAGGGGTGAGGGACAGAAGGAGGAGTCCAAATGGTAGCCTCCAGCAGCAGTGGGGCAGGCAGGGCAGGGGAGAGGTCTGCCACATGTGGAGGGGGATGCTGGTGTGGAGTCAGATCTAAAGGGAAAGGTGGTTGTTCCCAAGAGATGTGAAAGAAGTTTAGGGCAGCAGCATGTGGTATGTGTTTTGAGGGTGTTGCCATGAGGAGATGAGTCTTATGTGCAAAGTTGTGACATAAGCCTGAAGGTGCGATGGAGCTTTAGCAGAGGAAGCTGGTCACCCACTTGGCAAGGAAAGAGGAATGTGGGGCAGTATCAGGGAGCAACAGTCTGGAGGGGAGATCGAGCCTGCGGTTTATGTCTAAAGAAGGCAATGGAGGGTCTTGGGTTGGAGAACATTCACTGTGGAAGATGGGGGTAGGGATGCAGAGACTAAACAGCATGCAGGGCACAGAGGGATTTTTTATCAGGGTTTTGTAGCAAGCATTGAAACTGTAGCTGGGTATTTTGGGACTGACAGAGATGCAATAGGTTGGTCAGTTATCCACATGAAGCAAGGATGAACATATGTATGTTGGATGCGGTGGTAATGGTGGTGAGGAGAGAAAAAAAACAGAAGGGGAGCTCCAGGATGTGAGAAGAGTTGGATGACTAGGAAGGAGACATTCTGGAGCCTTTCCCTGTAGTCCTTTGGCTCCGCTCCAGCTTTTGGTCAGTAATGTTTGAATGCCCTTCTCTGTGGGCAAGTGACAGTAACCAGTTCTCATTGTAACACATGCCCACATCCTGCTGTGTAGGATGTTTTAGCAGTGGGGTCAGGCTAGCCATGAGAACAGGTACGGATCTCTTCTTCACTCCTTGCAGTAGTGTTTTAAAAGCTGGGCTTAGAAGCAGAGGTTGAAATAGGCTGTGCGTATCAGAAGCTTTTCAAGGTGATGATGTTTTGTGGATACACACAATTGTGAAGGTGTGCCACAGCATTTTTGGAGTGCAGCCATTGACTTTGTGATGACCAGACAGTGTTCAGCTGCTCTCCCCACAGTCACCAATAATCTGCCTTTTCATCAGATCTGTGGGCTGCTGCTTCACTTCCCTGACTTTTCATCTCCCAGCGTGGCTCATGTCAGGGAGCAGCAAGAGCAGGGCTGCTCCTCCAGGGAGGACAAGCTAGGAGCTGAAGGTGATGATGGCCACCAGCAGTGCCCTCACTTAACTAGGGTACAGTCCCACCATATCTGAACAGCGCAGGCAGAACAAGATGGTGATAGCAGGGATCCATCAGCAGTCCCAAAGGAGATGAGGTGGTGAATCGGGTCCAGGGTCCACCCATTGAGTCCAGTGGTAGGAAATGGTGCCAGCGGCAGGACTGGAGACAAGCTGCCTATGGTGTAGGTCCAAGGTTTTTCCAGGAGATAGGACTGAGGTCCACCTACAGTATAGTCAGACAAGGCAGTATGCCTGGACCTGAGCTGAAATGGAGCTCCTGGACCATGGGCAGAGGGTGCGTGGGTGCAGGTCCAAGGTGAGGCTGTTTGGGGCGTTTCAAGTGCATTCAGGGACCAGACAGCTAGAAATTCCTCCTTCCTCCCTGTACTTTCCCCTATGAGCCTTTGTGAATGTCCACTTGACTGTTTTGCCCCTTTGCTCTGTTGTCATTTCCCATGGTGGCTCTTTCCCCACCTTTGTCTCTGATGGCCCTCGCAATTCTCTTACAGTGCTCTGGGGTTGCGCTGTCTTCTTTTCGTGGCTTTCACTGCTGTCTATGTGGAGATGGTTCCTACTGCTCCTCTTCACTTTGTCTGCTCTCTTACTTCTGTCTTTGCAGTATTTCATACAAGGAGAAATATCAAATGAATTGCCTCTGTCTCTTTTTCTACACCTCAAGCCTGTCTGCATGTGGCATTAGTGATCATATGAACCTCACAGTCTCCTTGTTAAATTTCCTTCTTTCTTCCTGATTGCTCATTACCTAGGCTATTTATAAATCATTCCAGGCCTTCTTGGGGGTCTACTGACGTCTACCTGCTCTTCTCCATTGCTTCTGTTAAAAGCCTTTGTAGAGATGCTGATCATTACTCACCTTGTCTGTTGGCTTTCCCTTTCTTGCTGCACTGCCCATCCTCTTCCAAATGCAGCTACTTAAAATCTTCTACCTGCTGCTCGGACCAGATTGCGCTCAGATTTAATGTCTGATGACTTACAAACTGCACAGTGTCACTTTCAAGCTCTTACCTCCTTCTGCTACCACTTCTTTCTGGCTCGCTCCTGCCTTTCCCCCTTCCCCCAACTCTCCTTCTTGGTAAAGGGCAGCTATCAATTCTTTCACGTTTTGCATGGCACAGAGCACAATCAATAAGGGCTTGCTGAGTTGTGATGATTGATTTTCGTGTACCTTAAAGGTCCCTTCGCCCTGTTCCAGACTGAACGTGCCATAGATACTGTAAGATACCTTAGAATGATAGAGATGGTCTTAATGTAAAAGGGAGCTGGGCAATAATGCTCTCCAAGCTGTTGTAGTGTAGAGAAATTACTTTTGTTTTTCTCATGATCTCTTCAGGGGTGATCCCGGGCTGGGAGGGCACAGTGTCTTCAGCTCTGTCTCATCTCAGTGTTTCTGTGCTTGCTGCCTTTGTCCCCAAGTTACCATTCCTCAAATGCAGAGCATTGTTTGTGATCACAGCTGGTTGATGGCAAGGCCGGGAAATTCGCTGTTGCCAGCAGCTCTATTTTGCCACAGAGTGCCATCTCTTCTCCCCTTCTTTACTCTTTTCTTGTGTGGCAGACCTGTGTACCTTGGGGAGAGGTCAGGGGGGAGCCATTCCAAGATTTGCTCCCAGACTGCAGGGGGTGAAGCTCTTGTATCTAATGGTGTGATTCAAGCCCATTTTAGTTGAGAAAAGGGACATTACTCCCAAACAGCTCCATCATGCTACTTATTTGTCTGTGCTCACAGAGACCCAGCCCGGATTTGGTCAAACCCAAACAAGTTACTGTGCCCGTTTGTGTCCCTAAGTGGGGATAACTTTCTCTTGAGCCTTCCTCAGGCACTGCCCACCCTAGTTTAAAATGCTGCAGGATGGGGCCCTGTCCCCTCTCCGAAGCAACGTTCCCAAGTCTATGCTGCTCTTGCCTGCTGATTCTCAGCACGAATTTCCGATTGCATAGATTCATCGCTGTCCTTCTATGTGGACCATGACAAGCAATTCCATCTCCTTCCTTTGCATCTCTCTGTGATGTGCCTCCATACACTGTACATATATTAGTGTTTGGTATGCTGTGAAGTAAACCACTTTAAGTCTGGCCCAGATAAATAGTGGTCAGAATTGCTTATCATGGGAGGGTCCCAGCACAAATTCCTGAAATGACTGTCAGTGCAGGGAAAATGTTGATTTTATTTTTTTCCCCCTTTCCTAGAAGGCAGTCATGATAACCGTTGGTTCCCATAGCTTTGTTTACGGGCAGCCTAAGTAGAGAGCTCAAATTGAAGTAATTCCTCTTTGCCCATGTATCCTGGCGGTCGCATGTGAGAAAAAGCAGATACTTGGTAGTGAGCTGCTTGCCATTCTGTTATCTGCAGTGTGGATAGATCATGGACTTCGGTGTTCAGGACATCTGGTCTGGAATGTTTTCTTAGTAGTAAATTCAGGCACACAGAAAATACTGTGCCACTTAATTGCAAGCAAGGTCTAAAATGACTCATTTTGTGTTGTTTCTTTTTCTCTGCAGCAACTATAATGGAGAGACAGAAGAGAAAACAAGAAATAGAGAAAGGACTTCAGTTCATTCAGTAAGTGGACAACCTCACTGTTTCCTGTGGCTTCGGAGGTGGTTGTCTTCATATCAATGATAGCAGGAACTGAGTTCTTCCTGTTCACCGCTTTAGGTCTGCTGCATGGAAAAGAGATAATTGGTCCTAAGGATTTTCGCTGTGATTCTTCAAGGTGCTTCTTGCACTGCCAGCTCTCTCAACTTGAAATTCTATCATTTTAATTTCCTTGGGTTTTGCTCCAGGATCATCTTTGTAGTCAGCATAATGCTAGTAGTACTTGGACCTTCTACTTTGTCTTCAGCATGAAGGTCTCAAAGTGGTCTCTCAACAGGGTTGTCCCACCTTTCATAGGAAGGGAGATAGTGTTTCTGTTTTGTGGGTGGGTAAATGACTTGCCAGGTACCCTGTATTGTGCCTGTAGGAGAAATAGATGACCCGGCCTATTTTACAGTTGCCAACCTAGTAGGTACCTCAGGTCACTTTTCTGTGAATATCATGTGGCCTTCTGGAGCTTTAAGTAGTTGCTTATGTAGTACTTACAAGTTCAAATACTTTCTTATAAAGTACAGTAGTGTTTTTTACCTCCAATGTTTGAGTCAGGAAAGGCCTCAGACTCGGGTCCAGGTTCCATGGTGAGTAAGGAAGTAGCAAGACTGTAATCAGGTTGGTTTGGGTTTCTTTTTTAAGGTCTGATTTGAGTCCTGCAGTTACTATGGCTGAAATCTGTGCAACTACAATAGGAAAAAAAGCTGAATCTTCCATGTTACATATTTATATCCTGAGGCATGACATGATATTTTCACCCCAGTCTGAGACTAAATGGGGCTGATAACCCAGTTTCAGAGAGGCAGTTGTGAGCTTTATTTTGGTAACGTTTCTAAAAATGCACAGGATTCCTGAAAAGAAAATAATTTAGAAATACAGCAAGTTGTTCATGCTTCTGGAATGTATCTTGAACTCTGAACCAGGGGCAGTGTCATTTGTTGGCTTGTTTTGATGTGAAAGAGGGGTACTCCAATTTTATAAACAGAACAAATGTTTCTTACAGAGCCATGGCATTACCTGTAGTTAATTTTAAGGAGCAGGTGATGATTAGATTAGATAAAATCTAAAAAAAGTTTATTCTCTGACCAATAAGATCACGTATACAGTGTTGTATTTCAAAGGTGAGAAGGGCTATGAAAGGTACTAAGAATTTCTGTAGAGCCTTGAAGAGAAAAAATAAATACATGTGGACCAGGCCTGAATGGCTTGAATGGTCCGGCTTGAAGCACAGAGCCTTTCTCCCAAGTCTCAGTGCTGTTATGGGGTAGGTGTTATCCACACAAGCACTGCCAGGTTTGTGGCACAGCCTGGCAGCCTTGGCCAAGACAGCTAGAGTTAACCTCCCAAACCTGCGTTGTTGTCTCTGTTTTTTGGTGTAGGCCTAAAGGCACTTGGCTAAGTTAACGCAGAGAGAAGTGATGCATTTATCACTGTATTTCTTTAGTCTCGCAGAGGATTTGAGGAGGTCTTGGAGTACCAGTCTGGTGCCTCTCGTTAGAGCCAGATGCGCTTAAAATACCCTTCAGATGCACTTAAAATATGCTTGTGTTCTCCATGACAGTCTCTCAAAGATGTGGCTGTCTGAAGGTACGTTACAGAGGATCGTGTATGCACAGAAAATTGCTGAGAATAAGATTCCTCTAGTTTCAAATCCCTTTGGGACCTGACCGTCTCCTGACACTACTGTGACCATCACTGAGCGTAATGCTCCCTAATTGTGGTGTCTTTGCCCCAGCTGCCTTTGAAGTGATGAAATGTTCAACACAGGACCAGAAAGATGATTTTTTCATCAGACAGAAGTCTTTGTTTGCATGGATGCCTGTTTCATGAGCATTTTCTCTTCTTTTTTTCAGGTCCACATTACCCCTAAGCCAAGAAGATTATGAGGTAATGAAGAATCTGTTTTCTGAAGTTGGGAACCCTCTGGTTAGCAAATTTTGTTCTGTGGCACAGCCATTAGTTTACATACCACAAGTGGAGAGCATGGGATGGTCTATCACAATTTGTCTGTGACTTGAAGTTTTAAGGTTCTGACAATGACAGCTCTCAAGGAAAGGAGAAGACACTTGAGTGTTCAAGAACAAACGAGATTTGACTGCATTATTCTCCTCTACCAAAAGACTTATGTTTTACAGGAGGGTGAGGAGGCAGAAGAACTTAGTGGTTAGGAAATTTGCTAGAACATATGGAAAGGAATGGGAAATTGGGAAACTTCTCCTGTCTCTGAATATCCACTTCAGTCTATTTGCTCTCTCCCTGCTCTCTAGGCCTTTTTGCAGAAGTTGGTGAGAAATCTGTTTGCAGAGGGCAATGATTTGTTTCGAGAGAAGGATTTCAAGCTTTCGCTGGTACAGTATGTAGAAGGGCTGAACGTGGCAGATTATGCAGCCTCCGACGAGGTGACCATCCCAAAGGAACTCCTGTGCAAGCTGCATGTCAACCGAGCTGCCTGCTACTTCGCCATGGTGAGTGTCTTCCCGAGTCATCCCCAGGGGCCAGGGAGGACATCGTGGTTTCAGTGCCATGCAATTGGAAAAAATGTAAAGAGGGGTTTCAATTGATTTTGTCCATTCCCTATTCCAACGCTGGAGGAGAAGACAGTGACAGAACATCGAGAAGACAAACACAGAAAACAGATATCTCCCCACTATCACACTGTGTCTCGCAAGACGAGGGGAAAGCTATGAAGGAGAGGGGGCCAGGCCTAAGGTACTGACAATGCAGTTCTGGTCCATGTTGGTGAGGAGTTGATACAATGCAGTGCCTTCCAGTACTGGCTGAGTATTTCTCTGGAATACTGTTTGAGTATCACTCTGGAGGCTTCTGCCTCCTCAAGTGAAGCACCAAAAGACAGTGAGAAGGCTTTGGGTCTTGGTGGAACTTGCAGCACACACATGGAAAAGGATTCTGAAATACTCAGGCTCTAAAAGGCTGCATGCTTCCATTTTCTTAAGGAATGTAACAGCTTTCCTTTATGGCACAACCCCAAAGCAGGTCCATCCTGTTCGTAATGAGGCTGAGTCCCATGAAGAAAATTAGCAAGCGGTCACATAATTAAAGACTGTCAAATATAACATGCCCAAGGTAGAGGAGACAGGATAAGGTTGCTCAAGTGGCTTTAATTCTGGCGTTCACTGACTTTGACATGTTTTGAGTTTTGCAAGACTTAACAAAATGTTCTATTACTGTAGGTTTTGTGAGTTTGCATGCTGATCTGTGTATGAGGTAATAGATGTATTTCCAACTGCCTTTTGTATTCCTGTTTTCTGCTGAGAGATAAAAGGTTTGCATTTGCATTCACACAGAAGGAGAGGTTAGCCTGCTGTGCCTCAGCTGACTTGGGGTGTCTGTTCCACGCAGGGGTTGTATGAGAAGGCACTGGAAGACAGTGAGAAGGCTTTAAGTCTTGACAAGGAGAACATCCGAGCGCTCTTCCATCCTTAAATGAACTTGGAAGGCACAAAGAAGCATACGAGTGCAATAGCCGATGCTTGCTGTCCCTCCCACATGTAAGTTTCTGTCATACAACTCATCTTGATTTCTGTGGCCAACCACCTTCCTCCTCTGTAACATGCTTACTGTGAGGCCGGAGAACAGTGGAAGAGGAAGCTTGACTGTTCCTGGGAACATGCATATGCCCAGAAATTCTGTCTTTCTGACTTGAAGAAGATGTTTAACCTCCCATGTTTCTTCAGACCAAGTCACGCTCTACAGATAGTGCCAGCCAGAGACACTGGCTAGTAACAGCAGTTTTGGTGGTCTGTTTATGAAAAGCCAAACCATATCCTAACAAAATGTGAACTAAGGCTATGAGATTGTTTTAATTAGCAGGTTTTATATGTCTAATGGGAGTAACTAGGAGCGTGGGACAAATGGGAACTGGAGCACTGGAAGGAACACATGTATAATTTTCCTGGTTTAGATAAAAATGTCTCTTGTTTTACTTACTGATTGCTAAGACAAGCTGATAAAGCTTTTGAGGGACATGCAAAGGTGTCCTTTACATCACGCATCACAGTACTTTTATGTTCACAAGTGTGTAAATTTTTGCATTCAGAGGGGACTATCCGCATATACTAGGCCTTAGATATTTTCCTGACAGTGCTTTTGTTGAATGTCCTTTTAGGCCAAATTATGAACAGGAAACCAGACTGTGATTAGATAGATTCTGGTGAGCACTGATTATCTTTGCTGAATTTACTGATCCATTACATTAATGCTATTACAAGAAAAATGCCTGTACTTCAGCAGAAGTTAACTTTATTGTTAGTGTGACAGAAGTAATCTTTGAAAGCCTTGTTAGCCTTTAGTTATTCCTTTTGTATAGATTGTAAGTTCTAGTTTCTTTGACTTGGCAGAACAAGGTGACCGAAACGTATTAAAGGTATCAGGTTAGGGGAGTTCCAAAGAACTGTTTTTTAAACAAATCCTTTTATAAACAAAACCATCTAATATATGTGTTCAGGTAAAGCCATATCTGGCTATATTTCACGCTGTAGTTGAACCACTTAATTGAATTTATTTTTTAACCCTATACGTATGTTTACATATCTCCCATTGTTATCATTACAATCATCGTGGTCTACAAACACTTTACCAAAATTTCTGTGGCAGGGAAGTTTAGCTTTACGAACTCCATATTGTGTGATCTGCATTCCCTATTCTAAATAATTCAGTCTTGTAAGTTACCATACCCCATTGCCTTATTACCTGATTAACAGAAATGATAAACCTTCTCTGCATCAAAGGCAAGTCGTGCTATCCATCTTCTCACTCTTGTTTCCATTACACCTCTGGGGTACACAGGTACTTCCAGCTTGCATTGCTGTAACAGCTGAGAACTTTGTTGTGGTCAAAGCAGAGCATGTATTAAAACTTCTGGTGATGAAGGGTCTGCCACTCAGTTGACTCAATGTGTAGCAGAGTTAACTTGTTTCTGGGTGCAGATACTCAGTGCAGCTAGTTTTGAGAGGTTCCCAGCCTGGCAAAGTTGATACTCCTGTGTGGTATGCTTTTTTTGGTGTGGCATGGGGTTTTTTTAGGATGTTAGAGGAGAGCATATTGCATGCCCTTGTTGAACATCCCATCATTTAGCTGGGAGGTGCACCTGAGGAGCACCTGAGCTGAGAGGAGCAACTGAGGGTGTCATTTGGCTGAAGGAAGGGAAAGCTGAAGGAAGATCTTGGGGGTGGTGAAGAGCAAATAACCCCTCATCCCCAAATCTCAGGTCTGCTGATAAAAAGGACAATAATTAACTACGTGTTGTGGGAAAGGGAAGTGGAGGCAGTCTAGAGAGAAATACATTCTTGGTCTGGAATCTGAGAAGACATCTCAGAGTTATGTTGTCATGTGGAGTTGAATAGGGTGAAGCTGGTAAGTATCAGTATGAGATCAATGAAAAGAAATTACGTCAGAGGTCTTTCTGGTGAGTTTTCCACAGGGAGCAATAAAATGGCAGACTTCAGAAGACATCTGAGAGGGTGTTCGGGAAGGCAGAACCACCAGAGGGAAACAGACCAATGAAAACACGATCAGTTGTTACAAAGATCTGAGAGGTGGAAGAGAGTGAGGAAGGAGCAGTGACCATAAGATTTGACCAAAAAGAGGTCTCAGGAGGTGCGGGGACAGTTTCAGGAGAAGAAGGTACATCCTGAAGGTGTGTCAGATGGGGAGAGAAAAGGAAGTGGACAAGATAGATTTTGTCTTCACTGAGTTCAGAGACGATGGTGAAAAGACCAATGTTGAGGGTGTGGGGGAGCAAGTACAGTCAAAAAGTGGCACTCCAAATTGAAGGGAAAAGTTACTGATACTGTGGGCTGGAAGAACCAGAGGCTAGTGAGGGAGGGTTTGAAAGGGAAAGGATGAACCTGCAGGGGAAAAGGAGGTTGGAAAGACCAGCATGGCAAGTAGAGAGATGAGAGCAAGCTTCAAGATTGGAGATGAGAGAGGAGATGTTTGGGCATTAAGGAGGGATATCACAGTAGGTTGGGCAGGTATTTTTTGCTTCTTTGAAGAAACTGTTAAAGTATTCCAATGTTTTTGCAAATAGGGAGAGAGAGGAAAGCAGAAGGAAAGAGTTGCTGGTGATAAATAAGTGAGGAAGGTTGTGGCAGGTTGTTGGTCCAGGCAGAACTGGAGAAGATGGAGCAGGGGAATGGAATGTGGCCTAGAACTTTGGCTAGAGCCCTCGATGGTGTGGGAGTAGGCATCGGCAGCGGGCAGGGAGGATGGTAAATGGCGCACAGCAGGGAAAGCAGGTGAATCTATTTGACTAAGCTGAGGCAGTTTAACCAGAGCCGGTGACATCTATGCCTTCTAGCTAGTCAGTTGAAACAGAGACTTGGTTTCAGCTTTAAGAACAAACAAACAATCAAGCAAAACAGGCTAGTGAATACTGTCTGCATATCAAAACTGATTATTGACTCTGTGGCTGGCAGAGAGGGAAGGCATGCAGCCTCCTTCCGAGATGTAGGGACCTTGTGGAAGCTGTATCAGCAGCCAGCCTTGGCAGCCCCTCCTGCTGTCTTGCCAGCATGACCCATGAATCCTGCTTTTGGAGAGTGGGTGCTTTCTTGGAAGGAGACATTTGATTCTGATTTTCTGCAGCATCGAAAGAGTGTAGGGGCGAGCTCCTGGCGCAATCTCAGTATCTCAGCAGGACTGAATGACAAGAGGCCTCAGGTCTGCATGGACTTCACTGGGGCTGCTCTGGCAATTGTTGACCTGCTGCTATCTATAAGCGAGGCTGCTTGGCACAGCCCGGTGTAGATAACTGCATTGCTGTTTATTTCATTGTGTGTGTCACAAAGGCAAAACTGAAAGTGTCCTGCCAATGGTTTTGTCCCCAGGATGAAAGCGTCACACAGCTGGGACAGGAGCTTGCCCAGAAGCTGGGACTGAGGGTTCGAAAAGCATACAAAAGACCTCAGGTATGACTTCTTTTTTCTTAGAGGCTGTCCTTTGGCTCTTTCAGATTTACTTTTGCAAAAGAGGTAGGTTCTGCTCTGCGGTTACAGACACATGTACACTACCCTGCAATCCCATTAGTGGGCTGCTGACTACCCTCCTCGTCCTGACCCTCTGACTCACTTTGCCTTGATCCATTTCTGACCCCATTGCTGCTCTATGTCTACTGCCAGGATGTTTCCTGAGTCCCTAGCTAAGCCAGGCAGAGCCAGGCTGGTGCTGCAGGAGAGGCCTCTGATGCCAGGGGAGCCTGTGTTTTTTGAAGGAGAGGGACATGTGGCCTGATCCCAAAGGAGGCTGTGCATCACAGTCCTTTCTCTGTTATGGGATGAGAAGGGTGGGATCCTCTGCTGCATTGGAGGCACGGCTGGTTTTGTAGTGCAATGGGTCATGAATAGTTCCTGCCCTGTATCTGGGCATACACCTTCTTTGTGGTGGGGCAGAGGCCTGTGCTTTTGGAGAACAACAGCTACACATCTGGTCAGATGCTAGGAAATCACAGAGCTGTAGGGGTTGGAAGGGACCTCTGAAGATCATCTAGTCCAACCTCCTGCTAGAGCAGGTCGCACAGGATCGTGTCCAGGCAGGTTTTGAATATCTCCAGGGAAGGAGACTCCACAGCCTCCCCGGGCAGCCTGTTCCAGTGCTCTGCCACCCTCAGGGTAAAGAAGTTTTTCCTCA